GGGAAATCCTGGAAATCCTAGGAAAATTCTGGAATTGGGGGGGGGGGGGGGGGGGGGGGGGGGGGGGGGGGGGGGGGGGGGGGGTGATCCCGAGGGGGTTTTGGGAATTTGGGGTTTTTTGGGATCATTCCAATGTTTTGTGTGGGGCTTTTTGGGATATTCCCGGATTTTGGGAAGGGTTTTTCGGGTCATTCCCGATGTTTCAGGATGGGTTTTTTTGGGACAATTCCCGATATTTTTGGGCTGTTTTTTGGGATAATTCCCAATGTTTCAGGATGGGTTTTTTTGGGACAATTCCCGATGTTTTTGGGCTGTTTTTTTGGGGGTAATTCCTGATGGTTTTGGCTGTTTTTTGGGGTAATTCCCGATGTTTTTGGGCTGTTTTTTGGGGTAATTCCCGATGTTTTTGGGCTGTTTTTTGGGGTAATTCCTGATGGTTTTGGCTGTTTTTTGGGGGTAATTCCCAATGTTTCAGGATGGGTTTTTTTGGGATAATTCCCGATGTTTTGGGGCTGTTTTTTGGGATAATTCCCGATGTTTTGGGGCTGTTTTTTGGGACAATTCCCGATGTTTTTGGGCTGTTTTTTGGGATAATTCCCGATGTTTTTGGGCTGTTTTTTGGGATAATTCCCGATGTTTTTGGGCTGTTTTTTTGGGGTAATTCCCGATATTTTGGGGCTGTTTTTTGGGACAATTCCCGATGTTTTGGGCTGCTTTTTGGTGGTAATTCCCAATGTTTCAGGATGGGTTTTTTTTGGGTAATTCCCGATATTTTGGGGCTGTTTTTTGGGACAATTCCCAATGTTTCAGGATGGGTTTTATTGGGACAATTCCCGATGTTTTTGGGCTGTTTTTTGGGGTAATTCCCAATGTTTTGGGGCTGTTTTTTGGGACAATTCCCGATGTTTTTGGGCTGGTTTTTTTGGGACAATTCCCAATGTTTTTGGGCTGTTTTTTGGGGTAATTCCCGATATTTTTGGGCTGTTTTTTGGGACAATTCCCAATGTTTTGGGGCTGTGTTTTGGGGCAATTCCCGATATTTTTGGGCTGTTTTTTTGGGGTAATTCCCGATATTTTTGGGCTGTTTTTTGGGGTAATTCCCGATGTTTTTGGTCTGTTTTTTTGGGATAATTCCCAATGTTTTGGGGCTGTTTTTTGGGACAATTCCCAATGTTTCAGGATGGGTTTTATTGGGATAATTCCCAATGTTTTGGGGCTGTTTTTTGGGGTAATTCCCGATGTTTTTGGGCTGGTTTTTCTGGGGTAATTCCCGATGTTTTTGGGCTGTTTTTTGGGGGTAATTCCTGATAGTTTTGGGCTGTTTTTTGGGGGTAATTCCCGATGTTTTTGGCTGTTTTTTGGGGTAATTCCCGATGTTTTTGGCTGTTTTTGGTGCCGCTGGGGCAGATCCTGGCGCTGGCGCGGCAGCGGGGGAAGCGCGTGAAGGTGGTCGGGGGCGGCCACTCGCCCTCGGACATCGCCTGCTCCGACGGTTTCCTGATCCACATGGGCCACATGAACCGCGTCCTGCAGGTCAGCCCCGAATCCCAAAAAAACACGGAAAAAATGAAAAAAAAAAGCGAAGGAATCGGTGAAAATTCGCCCGAAATAGGGGAAAAAACAACCCAGAAAATTCCACCAAAAATTCAAAAAAAATCCCCCCCAAAATCACCCAAAAAATTCAAAATAATGAACCGCGTCCTGCAGGTCAGCCCCGAATCCCAAAAAAACACGGAAAAAATTAAAAAAAAAAGTGAAGGAATCGGTGAAAATTCGCCCAAAATACAAAAAAAAAACAAACAGAAAATTCCACCAAAAATTCAAAAAAAAATCCCCCCAAAATCACCCAAAAATTCAAAATAATGAACCGCGTCCTGCAGGTCAGCCCCGAATCCCAAAAAAACATGGAAAAAATTAAAAAAAAAAGCGAAGGAATCGGTGAAAATTCGCCCAAAATACAAAAAAAAAACAAACAGAAAATTCCACCAAAAATTCAAAAAATTTCCCCCAAAATCACCCAAAAATTCAAAATAATGAACCGCGTCCTGCAGGTCAGCCCCGGAGCTGCCCCAAAATCCGAAAAAATGTAAAAAATTAAAAAAAAAAAGCGAAGGAATCGGTGAAAATTCGCCCGAAATAGGGGAAAAAACAACCCAGAAAATTCCACCAAAAATTTAAAAAAAAATCCCTCCAAAATCACCCAAAAATTCAAAATAATGAACCGCGTCCTGCAGGTCAGCCCCGCAGCTGCCCCAAAATCCCCAAAAAACGCAGAAAAACAAAAAAAAAAGCGAAGGAATTGGTAAAAATTCACCCAAAATATATTAAAAAAAAACAACAGAAAATTCCACCAAAATTTTTTTTTTAATAACCCAAAAATTCCCAAAAAAATCAACAAAAAATCCCCCCAAAATCCCCCCAAAATTCCACAAAATAATTACAAAAATTTTTTAAATCACCGAAAATAAAAAAAAAAAACAAACCACAAAAAATTGCCCAAAATCACCACAGATCACCAAGAAAATTCCCCAAAAAATCCCCCAAATTCGCCAAAAATTGCCACAAAAATTCCACCAAAATATCACCCCAAATCACTCAAAAATGCCCCAAAAAATCACCAAAATCACCCAAAAATTCCCCCCCAAATTCCCCGAAAATCACCAAAAAATTCAAAACAATGAACGGGGTCCTGCAGGTCAGCATGGGAATGTTGCGGAAAATCCCCAAAAACACGCGGAAAATCAAAAAAAAAAAGTGAAGGAATAGGTAAAAATTCACCCAAAATATAAAAAAAATTAAAAAAAAAAATTCCAAAAATTCCCCCCAAAAAAGCACCAAAAATTCCCCCAAAAAAGCACCAAAAATTCCCCAAAAAAGCAACAAAAAAATCCCCCCAAAGTCCCCCCAAATTCCACAAAATAATCATCAAAAAATTTTAAAAATCACCCAAAAAAAATCACCAAAAATGCCCCCCAAAATCACCACAGATCACAAAAAAAATCCCCAAAACATCCCGAAAAAATCCCCCAAATTTGCCAAAAATATCCACAAAAATTCCCCCATAAAATCACCGAAAAATTCCTCAAAAAGTCACCAAAAAATTCACCCAAAATATTAAAAAAATCATCAAAATATCGCGGCAGAAAATCCCCCCAAAATTCGAAAAATTTCCCCAAAAAAGCACCAAAAATTCCCCAAAAAAATCAACGAAACAATCCCTACAAAAAGTCCACAAAAAGTCCCCAAAAATTCCCAAAAAAGTCCCTGGAAAATTCCCAAAAAATTCCCAAAAAGTCCAAAAAATTCCCAAATTTTTCCAGGTGGACAAGGAGAAGCTGCAGGTGACGGTGGAAAAAATCCCCCAAAAATCCAAATAAATTCCCAAAAATCATCAAAAAATCACCAAAAAATTCCCCAAAAAATCCCCAAAAATTCCCAAAAATTCCCAAAAATTCCCAAAAATTCCCCGAATATCTCCAGGTGGACAAGGAGAAGCTGCAGGTGACGGTGGAAAAAATCCCCCAAAAATCCAAATAAATTCCTAAAAATCATCAAAAAATCACCAAAAAATTCCCAAAAATTCCCCAAAATTCCCAAAAAATTCCCAAATTTTTCCAGGTGGACAAGGAGAAGCTGAAGGTGACGGTGGAAAAAATCCCCCAAAAATCCAAATAAATTCCCCAAAATCATCTGAAAATCACCGAAAAAATTCCCAAAAATTCCCAAAAAATCCCAAAAAATCCCAAAAATTCCCAAAAATTCCCCAAATGTCTCCAGGTGGACAAGGAGAATCTGCAGGTGATGGTGGAAAAAATCCCCCAAAAATCCAAATAAATTCCCAAAAATCATCAAAAAATCACCAAAAAATTCCCAAAAATTCCCAAAAATTCCCCAAATCCCCGAATGTCTCCAGGTGGACAAGGAGAAGCTGCAGGTGACGGTGGAAAAAATCCCCCAAAAATCCAAATAAATTCCCCAAAATCATCCGAAAATCACCCAAAAATTCCCCAAAAATCCCCAAAATCCCAAAAATTCCCAAAAATTCCCCAAATCCCCGAATGATTCCAGGTGGACAAGGAGAAGCTGCAGGTGATGGTGGAAAAAATCCCCCAAAAATCCAAATAAATTCCTAAAAATCATCAAAAAATCACCAAAAAATTCCCAAAAATCCCCAAAAATTCCCCAAAATTCCCCAAAATTCCCCAAAATTCCCCAATTTTGGCAGGTGGACAAGGAGAAGCTGCAGGTGACGGTGGAGGGCGGAATTCTCCTCTCGGAGCTGCACCGGGAGCTCGACAAGCACGGCCTGGCCCTGCCGAAGTGAGCGGGAATTCGGGATCGGGATTTGGGATTGGGATTTGGGGTTTTTGGGATTTGGGATTTGGGGTTTGGGGTTTGGGGTTTGGGGTTTGGGATTTGGGATTTGGGGTTTTTGGGATTTGGGGTTTTTGGGATTTGGGATTTGGAGTTTTTGGGGTTTCGGATTTGGAGTTTTTGGGGTTTGGGGTTTGGGATTTGGGGTTTGGGGTTTGGGATTGGATTGGGATTGGGATTGGGAGCTGGGATTGGGATGGGGATTGGGATCAGGAATAGGATTTGGGATTTGGGATTTGGGATTTGGGATTTGGGATTTTTGGGATTTGGGGTTTGGGATTTGGGATTTGGGATTTGGGATTTGGGACCAGGATTGGGATTCCTATGGGATTGAGATCGGATCGGGATCCGGATTGGATTTGGGATCGGGAACGGGATCGGGTGGGATTGCCGTGGGATCAAAATTGGATTGGGGTTGGGATCGGGGCCAGGAATGGGATTGGGAAGGGATTTGGGAACGGATCCAGGCGGGATCGGGATCAGAAATGGGATGGAATTGGGATTGGGATCGGATTTGGGATCAGGATTGGGTTTGGGATTGGGATTGGGATCGGGATTGGATTTGGGATTGGGTTTGGGATCGGATTTGGGATCGGGATTGGATTTGGGATCAGGATTTGGATTGGGATCGGATTTGGGATCGGGATTGGGACTGGGATTTGGATTTGGGATTGGGATTGGGATTGGGATCGGGATTGGGATCAGCATCAGGATCAGGATAGGATTGGGACTGGGAATGGGACTGGGATGGGGATTGGATCCAGTTGGGATCGGGATCAGGATTGGGATTGGGAGTGGATGGGATTGGAATCAGGAGTGGATGGGATTGGGAATAGGGTTGGGATGAAAATGGGATTGGGATTGGGAATTATTCCAGGTGGGATCGGGACCAGGATTTGGATTGGGATTCGTTTTGGGTTTGGGATCATATAGGGATTGGGATTTGGGATTTGGGGTTTGGGATTTGGGATTTGGGATTTGGGGTTTTTGGGATTTGGGATTTTTGGGATTTGGGGTTTGGGGTTTGGGATTTGGGGTTTGGGATTTGGGGTTTTTGGGGTTTGGGATTTGGGATTTGGGATTTGGGATTTGGGGTTTGGGATTTGGGATTTGGGATTTGGGGTTTGGGATTTTTGGGATTTGGGATTTGGGGTTTGGGGTTTGGGGTTTGGGATTTGGGATTTGGGGTTTGGGATTTGGGATTTGGGATTTGGGGTTTGGGGTTTGGGATTTTTGGG